CCGGCCACCGCAGCCTCGACCTGCTGGGCTCCGGCGATCCTTCCAAGTAGCCAGAACTACAGGCACGCGCTACCACGCCCGGCTAATTTTTTTGATTTATGGTAGAGATGAGGGCTCACCAACTTGCCCAGGCGGGTCTTGAACCCGCGGGCTCAGGCAATTCACTCAGCTCGGCCTCCCAAAGCTCAAGATTACAGCCTGAGCCACTGAGTCCGGCTGATTCAGCAATTTCTAATCACTGTGTGGTTGCTGACTACATCGTGGTGAACTAAACAGACAAGGCCTCTTTTGTCTCAGAGTTCTGCTAGAAAGGACATGACACGGGGTGCTTTGGGATTTCATGGGAGAGGTAACAGTCACATCCAGTTCGGGAGACAGGGGACACAGCTATCCATGGCACAGGTCGTATGTGCAATGGACCTTAATCTGCTTCTACTGAGAAGAGGCCGGCCTGATTTTACAGGCACCCTAGAAAAACAGGGTGAACCAGAAAGCACGAGCCATGGAGGAGAAGGCAGTGCTCCTGAGGCTCTCTTTTATTTCTGCTTTCCTCCTGTTGGTTGTACTTCATGTCACTGAATCTGAAGTACCATGGGCCATAAAATGCAGCATTGTTTTATACTGATTTTACAGGCACCCTAGAAAAACAGGGTGAACCAGAAAGCACGAGCCATGGAGGAGAAGGCAGTGCTCCTGAGGCTCTCTTTTATTTCTGCTTTCCTCCTGTTGGTTGTACTTCATGTCACTGAATCTGAAGTACCATGGGCCATAAAATGCAGCATTGTTTTATACTGATTTTACAGGCACCCTAGAAAAACAGGGTGAACCAGAAAGCACGAGCCATGGAGGAGAAGGCAGTGCTCCTGAGGCTCTCTTTTATTTCTGCTTTCCTCCTGTTGGTTGCACTTCATGTCACTGAATCTGAAGTACCATGGGCCATAAAATGCAGCATTGTTTTATACACAGAAGCTTTTTGTGTAACGCAGAGGCTAACGCTTACTGAGCACGTACAGTGTGCCAGCCACTGAGCTAAGCACTTCGCACTTAACCACGGCCGCCCCGCGGCTGACACTGGTGTCACTCCTGCGTCACAGCTGAGAAAACCAAAGCTCAGAGAATCAGGAGGTGGCAAGACGCTCGCGAGCGTTCTCGCGAATGAAACATAGTTTCTAACCCATGGCGTGTACGGAATGCCCTGCAGAGAGCGCCATACACAGGTGCGTTCGGTTCTGTTTTGCTTTTTACTTCTTTTTCTTTCTTTCTGCTCGCCTCTCACTCTGGCTGGCCCCCGGGTGTGGGAGGGGCGGGGCTGGCCGCAGCCTGGGCTTCGTGCGCCCCCTGGTGGGCCTCAGGGGCAAGGGCCGGCATCCCC